GAAGCAGCTGCTGTTAAGGAAGCCTTTTCCTGTATTATCTGCAAGGGTAAATAAAAACTTTTGTCTTCTTCAGACAGAAGTCAGTACAACTCATGTACCCAGGTTCATGAACAGAATAGCCCTCAATGAAAAAAATATGTAAGCACATGCAGTTACTGAATTAAAAAAAAATATGTTTCTGAATCAAATTTGCAGGTCCAGTGGTCGACCCCATGGTGTCTTCGTGTTGCCATAGCATTGTTGGCTGCAGGAGCTGCATTGAACAATGGCAGCAGAATTCTGCATTTTGTCCAAAATGCAGAGCAGATGATTTTGGTAGAAATGCACAAAAACTTACTGGATTGTCTGATGCACTGGCTGCACTGGACAAAATACTGTACCAGTAAAACTGTACAGTATTTACTTGTGTTCATGCTGTTCATCTTTAGTGTTTGCATCTCTTGCAATGTTTTAATGATTCACTCAAAGCACTTTTGACTGTTTAAAAATGTTTATGCAACTTCAAACTGTTATTTTATTTTGCCAAAACTGTGTTTCAGTTTTAAGACAGTACCTTAAATTTGCACTATTTTATATTGTATATTTTCTGTATTTTACAGTAAAAATGGAAAACCTAGAAATTAGGACTCTGTTACTGTTTTGTTGAGTTTTGAGCTCAACCTCAAATTATATCCTAAGCTTTTGTATTTTTCTATACCTTTTGTAATTCTAAAAAGGTTGAATAAAACAGTTGAAAGAAATTGTTTTCCAAAATTATTTAACTGAAATTATGGCAGCTTTGTAACATATGAACAACTACAGAATTGTTAAGTAAAAAAACTAAATTCTTTGCTTATCCAGCAAATCAAGCAGACCACATGCTGTGAAAACACAACTAAAACATTTAATTTTTTCAGACATATCTCGCTGTCACATTCATTAAGCAGATTAAGGCATCTTGGAAAGGAGTATCATCATTGTTTACCACATGATTAAAAATGAGAGAGATGTCAGGGTAGTTCTCTGCAAAGATCTGCTCAGCATGGCATCTGTCTTCTTCACATGAAAATGGATCAGCTCCAAATACAGACTCCCAAGTTAGTGAGGATCCCAAGTCTTGCTCATATAGGTTTCCCACAACAGAAGCACATGGCAGCAGCTCCTCGGATACTTTAGCCAGGCAGCCATCTGCTGCTAGTTCATTGGGTATTCCACGACCTAAAACGTAATCCAAAAAAAATGGTTGGATTGGAAAAAAAGAAGCAATAATTCTATAGTGAAAACTATCAGTTAAGCATACCTGGTATCTTGTGTGCATTCCATGAACGCACAACTCTGTTAAGTCCAATTTGGCTTACTTGACATGTCAGATTTGACATGCAGAACCTAGTGAGGTTATCCTCCATGTTCAAAACCTCTTGGTCCAGCAGGTGCACCAGAGCCCGTTTAAGTGGGTAGTTCACACGATTGTTCACCTCTGGCCATAACCTCTCCACACGAAGGTTCTGTTGATAAGTCCATGATGTTTTTAGGTTAAAGGTAAATACAAAAGCAGGAAATGTAACAACACGTTATGGATTTTTCTTTTAAGATCAGAATCATGTTAATATTCTAAGTATGTGTGTGACACAATAAATCATGTCACGACACAGATGAGATTATACAAAACTAGAAATAAGGATGAACACAAAATCAAACAAAAATGTGAAGATTAAAAATAAAAACATACTGGACACAATGGACAGGTAATTGCACATGTACAGTAGTTCCACTGGGTTTATGGAAGAGTTAAATCATGTTTAATAATATTTAAAGGGAACAGTGCATGAACCATGAATAATTTCAATAACTTCTCACCCTTGTTGATGTGGTTTGGAGGTATGGTGGCCTGCTGAGGTTGTGTCTGTATCTTGACAGCCTCTCCTGCATGTAAAGACACAGGTAGAACTCCTTGCCATGATCAACCCGAACTTGATCCCACATTCCATGGTTCACGACCGCTGATCTGTCATAAAAAATGTTGCATCACTAAATTGAATTTAAGTAATTCAATGACTTGCTTTAAAGGTTATATACGAAAGACAACTATGACAATAATACTATTTGTTAATTTATTCACCTGTATACATCCTCGTAAATCACAAGGTTATTTTTGATGGGCATGGTTGAATGTGCAACAATTCTGCTGCTGTAGCC